CCTTTAAGCTGCATCAGTGATTATCCTCCTTCAGAAGCAGCAAAATCAAATTTAGAAGTTTGTCCAATATGTCGTTAACAGCCAAAGTCTATGTATTGAACCTTATATTTCAAAAATCATTAATACCCTGATTTTTATTATTTGTGCTTTCTTGTAGGTTTCTGTGTCCTGTGAGTCTGGCTGTCTCTGGGTTGGCTGGCACAGCTAAGTCTTGTTGAACCTCAAAATACAAAAAGATATGTTGAATTTTATTATAACTTTTATAAAAACTTTTATTTTAATATAACTATACGTATTATAATATAGCGGTTAAAATTCACTGAGTGCTGCTGTGTCTCTCCTCCTCCACATAGCGACTCTGTATGCAGTGAATAGTGACCCCAAATAATATCATGTCCCAAAGTGGCAGATCCCATGATATTTCATGGGACTCGAGAGCAGCCGGAGAGTGAGGAAAAAACACGGACTGAAAACGCTCTGAAGAGTACAGACAGTTTTTGACTGGTCATGCTTATCTGCAATAAAATTAAAGCAATGAAAAACATTCTAAATTTCAAGTCCATCCATCCATCCATCCATTCATCCTTCCATCCATCCATCCATCCATCCATCCATCCATCCATCCATTATCTGACACGCTTGTCGCGAGGGGTGCTGGTGACTATCTCCAGCAGTCAGTGGGCGAGAGGCAGGGTCCACCCTGGACAGGTCGCCAGTCAATCACAGGGCAACACAGAGACACACACCCATTCATGCACACACTCACACCTAAGGTGCCACTGAGCATCCCTAAATTTAAAGTGTCACTTCCAATTGTCAATTTATTGACTTCTGAAATGTTTTCCCGATTGTGACCTGTTTCTGCCCTGTGGATCCCGAGTTTTGCCTTGCCCCTGTCTGTTCTGTTAGTCTCATCTGTTTTGGATTGATTCCTTGATTCTACCGGATTCCTGAACCTGGACCTGTCTTCTGACCCCGGCTTTGGATTTCCCCTTTGGAATCTGCCGCTGCTCGGCGTCGGCTGGCGCCTGCTTCGCTCGCTCTCTAGGAACTCTGGGGGCGGCACCCGCCGCAAGCTGGGGACTAACCTCCCATTGGGATTCAGCTGTTTTCTCTTTGAACCGACTGAACTGTGAATCAGGTCAGTGACTTTCCTCCAAGTAATGATCAGCTCTACATCCAGTCACTGACCTGTATCTCCTATCTCTGCAAATATTCGCCAATTCGTCAATTTAAATGACCATTTTAACTACATGCCATAAACATTCCCCACAAAATACTTTGAAAAGTTTGCTAAATATCATGTTGGTTTGCAATGCTCCTTCAGATATAACGTTTTAGTTACGTAGATCATGTTGAAATGTATACATTTTTGAAACTGAAAAAATTTTTTGTATGTAACTTTCTTCACATGTTTTCTCCCAAATTCTCAAGAATCAGTGAGCTATCAGTAGCATAACAGCTGGAATTAACCCCCATTATATCTAATATATTGCAGCCACAGCTGCACCTGGGCACGCAGACAGTGGCAAGATTGTTGTAAACAGGTACTACCTGCCATCTGAACACCATCAACACTTATCCATTGTGAATACATCAATCAATCAATCAATACAGAAGGGCACAATGACTTAGCTGAGATTGAAACATGGCACCCTCCAGCTACAGGACAGACTTCTGCTTCCTATGCATTAACTGCAAAGTAAACTGATTTTGTCAGGGTGTGTATTTTAAGAGATAAGAGTACACAGGTTGGTATTTAGGAAGAAACTATTATTTTTAAATCAATAGTAAACAGAGTTTTTTTTAAATTCAACTGCATATATTGCAGTTGATCTCTTGCATAGATGAATTAGACTGAAAAAATGCTGAACAAACACCATACTCTACACATTAAACACCAACAGAGGAAATTTAACACCCACTAGACACAAACTTTCTGCTATTGGATGGACTCCTGCTGGCCCACATGATAAAAAAATATTCTGGGGTCAATTCAGTTTATTTCTGACCCTAAAACTAAGACAAATTATCACCCACACCTGTTTCACTGAATGCATCTTATCTTGGCAAAGCAGAAACAAATCAGGGATCATTTTTTATTATTATTTCTACTGAGGAAAATGTAGTTTTCCTCCTTCTGTACCACATGACTTTGTTATCAAATTTATCTTTTTTATACTCTTATTGTGCTTAAGTGTAACAGAGAATGTCTTGTTGTCCAGGCATCACATCTGAATGCCCCCTGAAGACAGAAGTATTTCACCAGGCAATACTGCATTTTAAACTATTTATTGTCATTTACACAATTACAAATTTGATGGCAAAAAACATGAGAAGCCATTAAAACAGTTTTATTTCTGTGGAATCATTAATATTTCAACACAAAATGCTGCCTAGAACTTAACTAAATGTTTGTAGAAGTTTATATAAATTATTTGATATATAAAGTGACAGTCGATTTAAATTCACCCTAATCACAAAAAAAAACTTAAAGCAGACATTCCTAAAATCAAATGATATGGAAATATTTGTTTGAAACATTATGAGTTAACCTAAAAAATGATCTAATACAATTTCACCAAGTTAAATAGTTGATCTGTCTCTACAGTAAGAATATAAAAATGATACAAGTAAAGGGTTTTGTTGAATCATTATAAAAAGAAGAGTAAAACATGCATGTCATTCTTTAATCTGTCCAGTTTTACCATAAAGAAAATCAGGTAAATGAGAATATTTTGGAATCAAACAGCAACATTTTAGTTTCAATAGCCCTCGAACCACATGCACCATGAGGAGATGATTATGGTCATTTAATTTCCAACTCCTCCAACTGCTTCTTCTACTGCAGCTACTTTTTTATGCTGAAGCTTTTCTTCCTTTCCAGACTGACCTATTTCTCCAACTAATCCGGTTTTACTGATTGGACCTGCTAATATAACACCTGTCCTAAGTCCCAGATGTATTTGCTTCGCTGTCCTCAGTAGTAGTAGGAGCCACCGCTCAGAAATGATTTTAGCAAGACTTCTGTAGTGGCCTTTAAAAATTTCTGGGCCCAGTTCACCTGGACCACAGTTTTAGCCTTTTCTTCAATCTCATTTTGTGAAAGATTAGGAGTTTCTGCCTTAATGCGTTCCTGCTCTTTTTCTATATCTGTGTTCAAGTCCTGCAAAATATCTTTGGTGTAGGGCTGACCACTGTTCTCCTCAATAATCCTGTCTACAGTGTTTAAAAGCTCTTTAACCTGGAACTCATTGTTTCTGTAGCCATCCTGAGGCGTCTTCCAGTATCTATTATCAATGACGTTGCAGCGGCCGCCACATGTCTTTACAAGTTCATCTAAATCTTTACTTTTACTGACAAACTCCTCAATTGTTGTTCCTTTGGGCAGCTGGTCACCATAAGTAAAAAGCACTGTGGTGAACTTTAGAGCGTCTTCCGAGAAATATTCAGTCATTTTATTTATGATCTCCTTCTCTTGCTGTGTGTATTTATCCACTCTGAGTACAATTATGAAAACATGAGGACCAGGAGCACTCTCAATAAAACATTTTAAGATTTCATCCTTCATCTCTTTGTCACTTCTAACTGTGTCAAAAAAACCAGGAGTGTCAATGAGTTTTATGCTTTTCCCATTGACTGTTCCTTTTTCTGCTTGACAGTGTTGAGTTCCAGATTCTGGAGTATGATTTGGTTTACACACATCCTTCCCAAACAAGGTGTTTGCAAGGCTGCTCTTTCCAGATCCAGTTTTTCCCAAAATCACAATTCTTCTTTCGAGGTCTGTAAGGCAACAATAGCTTGATTAGTTATTTATGAAGGTATAAATGTATATAGACAGTATTTTTGGAATCCAAAGATTGATTTTTATTTTTTTATGATTATGTTAATATTTAAAATTTCTTGGACTGATTTGTACCATTTAAGTGAGTTTGCTCTAAGTTATTTTTAAACATGCATTTGTTCACTGTTAGACATGAATACATACATGCTGAAAGTTCATAGAAAATAATAGGCTTTATGTAACGCCCTCAGGTTCTTTGTAAATGTATTAAATCAGACAATTAATGTGTTAAGGCAACTGTAATTTTACTAAGAATGTTAAATGTTTTGGTATTTTAGTTTCACCCATTAGCTCTTATATATCTACATATATCTGCTTCTCTTATATATCTACATTCTCATACCCCAGTGTTCCTGAAAAACTCTTTCTTGGAACATTTTGAGACTGTTTTTGGAATTGTCTAAGATAGATGATTACCGGTACTTAATAACATGCATTCATTTAAATTGATGTTGTTTAAGTTAATAAAGGTATGATCAATGACATACAGTTATTGAACATGCAGTTACTTTGTTTTCCTTTTGTTTTTAAATCTAGTGTGCTTTATTCATAAATACAGGCTCTTTAATGTTTTTTTTTTAAACACAGCCTGGACCATACTGTTCGGACTAATTATATAACAATTTTGCATCTCACATTTCTTTGTAGTATGTTTATAAGTGAAATATCTTGAAATCTGCAATAATTGAGCTGCTCTTGAAGTCTAGCAAGTTTCCAAATGTAATAGCATCGTAAAAATGTGCTGGTGGTGCACAGAGAACTTTGATTATAGTTTAGCTTCATTTCCGGGTCTGCACTCCATCCCACCCTAGCTCTTTCTGTCCCATAGAAGCAATGTTAATCACTTATGTGATAAAAAAAAGTAAAATTTGAACATGAACTTGAAGCTAATGGAAAAAATTAGGTTAGCTGTAACTAATAGAGCCTTAATAATATCATCTTAACTGTTGTTACAGCTAAAATCACGTTAGTCTTAAAGCTATTTTGTTCACTTTTTTATTAGCTCTACTGATTTGAATGGTCTTTTAATGTTAACAAAGGTTCAAAATCTTCACAAATAGCCCCTCTCAATCATGATGTGCCACAAGGTTCAGTATGCTCCAACCTTATTTAAACAGCATTCCTTGCATTTAGGTCAATTTTATTTCACATGATAAAGTTGGATCAACTGATTTGTTGATGAAAGGCAGATTTATTTACTATTAAAGAATAAACCGACTAATTAGATCTGTGATGATATAATTGTGTCAAAATATTTTAGAAGTAAATCAGAAATTATTTAAAAATTTCGAGGTATTGTCAATATTACAGTCTTGGTTCTGTTATGTTTTCTTTTGAGTATTCTTTTTACTTTGCTCCATGTTTTCCAGTTTGAGTGATTTAATTCTAATTGTGTTGTTATAATTATGTATATTGTTATATTTCAGTTTTTTATTTGTTGCCCTCTTCCGCCCTCTTGTGTTCTCCTTTTTCTCTAGCTCCTTTCCTGTCTGCTCTGTTCACACCTGCTCCCTATCTGCTCGTTAGTCATCTATTTGTTCAGTCTCTCATAAATACACTCCTTATACAGTTCCTCAGTGCTGGTTCTTCGTCAAACTTCGACCTACACCGTCTTACAGTGTCGTACCTCGTCATGATTGTTTTCCCCTGATATCCCCATGGTTTCTGGTTCGTTTAACTTTTTTCTTGTTGGATTTTTTGGGGGATTTTTTGGATTCCTGCCTCAGTTGTTTGTTTACCACGCATTAAATCTACAAAAACACAGCTCTGCCTCCCTGCCTCTGCATTTGGGTCCTCAAACCTCAACCCAATCCTGACAGTCAAGTTCTAAAATCCTTTTCACATCACACAGGCTTTTTGTTGGTAGTGTTAGAGTTTTTGGAGAATAAGATAGGAATAATTAGTGAAGGTGGCTTACCATTAGGGACAGCTGTGGAATTAGATTCATTATTGTCATTGTTCGGCTGAACGATACTCCTTTCCTCTGACGCAGAGTTCTGGTATAGTAAATGAAAGAACGTGATTAGATCAAAATATTAATCACATTTGGAAGATCTGATGTGGATCGTTTGGGAAAATACAAAGATGTCCTCTGAACTAAACTGGGTTGCAAACCCTCCTGAATTTATGTAAAACTCTTTCTACTTCTAGCTTAGCAAGGTACCGCTGTTTCCACTAGGAATTTCAGATAATGTAAAATTGTCACTTAAATGTAAACTTTAATCCATGTACACTATCTCATCTTCAAATGTTCCACAACAGCCTTTACGCAGGGCTACATTTTAACGAGAAGTGTTCTTAGATTATATATTAAGACACATGAGGTGCATTTCCATCAGCCTTTTGTGAAGCACATTTTAAAGTATTGCATCAGAAAAGCTTGATGGACATGGCAAAATAAAAAAGAAAACTCCGTCAAATTTGTGAAACAGGAGATGAAAACACTTTTTTCGAATCACTTCTGGCATTGTAAGCTTTCACTTCACATGACTGATTAGCTGTTTCTGCAGCCGTTGTCCTCTTGAATGTTTCTATTATGCATGTAAACATGACTTGAAGAAAAGGAAGAAAAACCTCCCAATAGCAAAGCATTCATTAACATTTTACTCCGTTTCTGATCTGTGTTCAGTGCTAGACTGCAGCACCTACTCCATGCTTATTATAACCATGTGTGACGAAGTTGTGTTGACAATGATGTAGGACTGCAATACACTTGGTGTTGCTTTGTTATTTACCTTTAACCGAATGGAAACAACGCAAATTCTATTTTCCTTGTTTCTGAACTTTAAAAGTTTCCTTAAAATTTATAATTCAGTTGGAAAAACTGCTATGAACATTAGGAGAAAGGTGTTTTTGTCTTGCAGAGATTAATATGCTTTGGTCTGGAATGTGCATACACACCCAAAACCCAAACAAAAGATCTTATTATAATCCTGCCTGAAGCAGTCAGTACTGCACTGACATGTGATCAAAGTCTACTCTGAGGGGAAGAAGGCATTAATTCAAAAGAAACTCTGACAAGCCAAAATGTTATTAAAAAAAGGAAACAGGGACAGAAATATTTAGGAGACAATTCCTGTGGTTCCAATAAAAAACTTGAGCATTTTTGTCATAATGACAGTTGTTACATCTGGGGAGGGAAGGGTGATGCTTCTAAGCCAGAGAAGACCATCCAAACTCTGAAATGCTTTTACAATTTGCTATTAAGTAGATGATTAGGTGCATGAGGGACCAGCCTTTCTTCAAAAAAATAGATGACCTAATGAGAAAAGAACATGATGTTGAAGCTCAGAAAAAACATCTGAAGACACGAGGAAGAAAGTTGAAACTTGGGTTCAAATGGGTCTACCAAATAGAAAATGACCAAACGTATATGGCCAAACAAAGTGGCTCATGGAAATCAAAGTCAATGTTTTTGAGGGGCAATCACAAAGCCCTGATTTTATTTGCATTATACATGTATTGGCAGAATTAAAGAGGGGAGTGTAAGCAAGTTAGCTGAAAAAACTGCTTTGTTCCAACGGTTCTGTCTGTCCACATTGATGGTAACAAGAAAGAGGTTCAGCCGACCAAACCAGTTCAGAACAAAACAACATTCTGGTGTTAACCTGTAAAAAGAGCAGAATAAGCGCTGAAATAAACATTTTAAATCTTAATTGTCATGAAATATCAGCTAAAAAAGACAGCATGAATTCCTCAAGACAATTTTGAGTCTTTTTATATGGCCTTTACTACTATAGTTTTCACCAAGTCAGAAGATACCAAATAGCTTCACACTACATTCAGTCATTCAACATGAATTCACAGAGGCGAGGCTGCAACTGGTAAACAAAGGGAACTTGTTGACTTGTGTGTCAGTACAACAATATTATTAATCATAGGTTACCTATGAATATAGAACAATTCAAATATAATTCTATGTTCCATGTTTCCCCCAATATAATTTCATAACTATATCATGAACAAAACGACTTGAGACTTTGCTTTCAAAGTAAAATAATTTAGCACTTTGATCATTTTATTAAGATCTATGCATCTTTTTCAAATTATCCAAGCTGAGTGATGTTTCATTAGATTCCATCTTCATATGTGGAGTTGGATAATTTCCCTATTGATATCCAACATATATATAGATTAAGCTGATTTTAAAATAAGTTATTACTCATGACTCAAAATAATTTTTATTGGTTGTAAATCAAACCTCTGCAGACACCTCCAGCTGTGTTCTGTTTCTATATAATATCTGTATTTCTGCCAACAAATTATGAAAAAAAAGCTTTTCTTACAGCTTTAAGAAAATGTTGAAAACAAATATTGTTTACCCTACTTTTTTTTTTATAAAAATCGCAAATAATTTTTTTTTTATATACGATACTATGTACAATAAACATATCCTGGCTTAAAGCTAATGTTGCACTGACCTGTGCTGGATCTGCAGAGAAAGAGTTGCTAGGAGAGCTTGGAGTTGGTGGGCTGTCAGTGACAATAAACACCAGAAGACCATCTGAAAGCTCTACAGTGTGCTCACGTCTTTCCAGTACTTCTTGTTGTGCTGCAAAAAAATTTGTCATAAAAATTACTTAGAATCAAGCAAGACCTCCACAGTACAAAAACCACTGTAGGCAGGAATAAATCAAAGTCTGTTCAGCTATTTCACAGTTTGTATTGTCAGGTAAAACAAGAGACAATGTCAGAATTAAAAAATTTGATTAATAGATATATTTATAAAATATATCAAATATGTGCTCAGATTCTGTGTGGATCATTAATTAGATTCTCCACAATGAAACATGTTTTGTGAACAGAATTTAGATAATTATTGTAGTATAAATCTATATACTATCTCTCATTATGAGATCTTTTGAGCTGATTCTATAAATCTGTAATAAATCAATAAATAAAAAAGCCCAAATTGTACAGTTAAAAGAGGAATATAGAACAGGTACCTTTTTGATCTTTAAAAGCTACACAATAGGTGTCATCAGCCACAGCTGTCAGTGGTCCACATTCTCCTCCTCTAGATTTGCGCTGAATTTTTAAATATGTTTCTATTTTCTTCTTTTTTTCATCTGAGAGAATGCTGTTACTCTTAATAAAAAGACGATACTGGTAGTTGTCTGCCATCTTCCACCTAGGTGTGCATTAGCTCTTAGTGTAGAAATTTCAGTACTAAAGTCTGATCTACATCTACTTTGTGAAGCAGCTGTAAAAGGGCATCGTCTTCTTAACCCTTATATTATGTTGAAAAAAAATTACATTCATTATGTTGCGGGTCATTTTGACCCGCACTGTGTAAATACAAGCAAAATAGTCAAGAAAACAGGTTAAACCAATAACCAATTTATTTTAGATTACTTAAACATTAAGTCAAGTGACAAACCATACAGTTT